TGTACTATGGCGAATGTTCTAGTTCTTACTAGATATAGGGTAGGCTGGTATATAAAAGAGGGGAATGTAATGTGTGTAGATAGTGTGTGTAATTGATCTGCAGTCAGAAGTATTATTGACGTTTGTTGATATAGCGTTTGTTTTAGCGCGAGTATTGAGATTAAGTGTATCGCAGAGTTATATTCGGAAAGAATAAACCAGTTTTATTAAGTAAAGACTTGTGTCGTTAAAGTTTCGTTGGAACGAAGTTGGGAAAAAATCAATTAACAAACGGAGACGTAACAAAATAATTTTTTTACTAATTTTGTTCTTAACTCGAAAAACGTCATAACGGCTGTTAGTTCCTCTATACGAACGCTGTGAAGACATAAATACGTCAATTATTAGTAAATAAACAACTAATTTTTTATAGGATTAAGAAGGCACTCAAGCAAGCTATTAAGTATTAAAGTTGATTAATAATTTGCAATCATTGTTAAAAGGCTTTTATTTTGTGATTATTTATCTCTGCGATTTCTTTCTTTCTTTTTTTTTTTCTATACGTTTACCTTTTGTTTATGCGATTATATACTCGCGTATTGCATTTTCTTTATTAAAAGGACTTTGGTATGTTCTATGGCACTGTATTATTCCACTTTAAAGATGATTGGTTTTAATGTTAACTTTGACCGTTGCCTTGGGACAAGTCTGAGAAAGATATATATATATATATAAGAAAAAGGCATGCAGTTGTAGTGATAAACAAATTTGTAAAAGGTTTGGTTATTTAGTTTTTTATGCAGTAATGGAGGCAACACCTGCTTCAGAAAATCATTAATGTTACCTTTTATTGTTACTTTGTTTTCTTAATGTTTATTTCGCACAAAAGGATAATATATAAAAGGATTTACACTATAATATTCTTTGCTGGCTGATTATGACGTTGACTAAAAGCAACAGCCGACCAATGCTGTGAGGGAACAAAGGTCTAAGGTGACACTGTCGATTGTCCAAAGAAAGTCAGTTTATCTGTCGACTTCATGCGCGCTTTCTTTTACCAACTCTATTAGAAGGTTATAAAGTAGTCTTATTAAAATCATCATTTTTAATTGGGTGTAAGCCTCTTCTCAGAGAGAGAAAGCTGTGGGATTAAACATAGTCTAGTAGAAACAATTGTCTTTTTATGTACTCACATTTTGGAATAAATACATCTTGATGGTGACGAACTATTTCCCAAATGGCTAGAGACATATACTATTCTTAACCTGAAAGTAGAAGCTCTAGCACGAAACTTGACAATGAATGTGTGTCAATATATGTTATGATCATGAAAATTTGCCCAGATCAGGGTCAAAACTTTGAATTAGCCTTCTTTGCTAGAGACTTCCCCTTGCAAATAACTTTAAGAAGAAAGGTAAATGGAGGACCTAGAATACCCCTCATCCTATTTCGTTTCAAAACCTTTCTATTTAGAAAATTAGAGGCTATCCTTATAGCATTACATATCCAAAATACCAGAACTTCGATAATGTGGTTGTTTCTCCGCTACAAACATCAGTTGAAAAGACAATAAATCTATATTTATAAGCTCGAATGTCTCGCTCTCTTTCTCTGTGGGTCTGTTCCTTATCCACGGTACAAACTCCAAGCTCGGTGTACAAATACACCTTTGTGCGGGAAGTAACATGCCTCGTGATCCTGAAGATAAGGAGAAAAGATCTGGTACTACTTTTCTGACTAGTTAGAATAAGTCAGCCAAATAAGCATTAGATCTATATCATCAATATCCAGGAAAGCCACTGATTGTAGGAACACTGACTGAAAGAAAGTGGCAATTCTTACTTTTCAAACTATCAAGCGATGTTCACCATTTTCGCACATTGTTATTTTTATTGAGTTGAATCAAAATATTTAATTGGGTAAAGAAATAATTTTGATTTTTTTGGGCCAAAAATCACGATTAATATGGTTGATTTAATCAAAACTACTCAGGATATTTAAAGCCATTTTCATCCGAGCAACGCCGGGTACTCTGCTGGTGTGAGAGATAAAAACAAAAAAGAAAGGTTTATCCACGTACAAAAATGACAAGCATACACAAAATTGATATAATAGCTAAAAAGAACTCCTGTAGATAATGGCATTATAACGGTATAATCCGGATTCGATAACCGTGGTGGGCATAGCACAGATAGTCCATCGTGTCGTTTTGCGCTTAACAACAAACAAACAAACAATGGCTATTTTCTAATATTATCCAAGCATATGAATCTTTAAATTTAATATAGAGTGTAACATTTTAAAACACGTGTAATATGCCACAAAACATTTTCCAACAAGCGTTTTGAAGCATCTGTCTAAACCAAATGAGTAAATTTGAATACAGCTGCAACAAAAGTATCGCCCACCTATTGTCAATCAATGTCACAAAGTAAGTTTCATCATATTACGATATTCATAGTTACATCATCCCATAGAATATGCAATAAACGTTTTTAAATTCACTACTTTCACCCCAACGGTACAAATGCGCCCACTTTATCTAATTGCACATTTTTATTTATACTTGCAGACTACGCTAACGGGTCACTCATGGGTAAACAGAGTGGAAAGTAAAGAATTAACTTGGCATTAGTATGTCTTAATTCTATTTTCGCCCTGCCACACATTGTCATAAGCTAATCCCCTTTGGTGCTACTGAACTTTCCTTTCAAAGCTGTGTCTGAAAAATTTTGTAATTCTATAATACAATGTTCTCTGGAGTTGCGCCCCCCCCCCACGTGGCGACAGTGGTA